GCAGCTTCTCTCGTGTGAGATCGTCCGATACGCCACCAATGAGACACTGAGTTTGCATGGTTTCTTCAATACAAAGTGGGTGAATTGACGAAAACCGACATTCAGGGATAGCCTGATGTATACCGGAGATCAAATCATTGATATTTTTGCCACTCTGTATGCAACAGTTATAGTTGGTGGACACGAGGGTGTATTAATTCGGTTGATCTGTTTTAAGGGCAGTTGAACTNGAACTAATCACTATTGCTGAGTCTATGTTGTTTGGCAGATTGATTCTTTTTTCTTTCCAATTATCCAACCGAGGCCACTGAATGTTTCCCAATTCAAAATAATCTATATCGATTGAAAAGAAGCAAAACAATATCGGTAACAATTAGCCTACTAGGAAAAAATATCAAATTTACCATGTTAATTATGTCAAATCATCATTTCGCTCTATATTGCACAATGGTTAACCCTGCACTTACGTGCACCAGTTTTGCCGGCTACAGTTCCTCACTCCAAAATGATAAAACCATGACAAAAATCCAGTAACTAAACAGATCTGGGAAACCCATTGATTGAAATTGTTATGGAATAAAATAATTTGAGTAGTGGCGTTCCCAGGTAGCACGTCGTCGGCTGATAACGTGCTAACAACCGGCTACAATCAGCTTCACTGAAGAACATCCAGGTTTTAGGTTTCCGCCTTTGGGCGGACAATTTTCCCTCCTCTAAGCCCCTATTAACTCTATATTTTCATTTACTATCTCGCCACGGAATTCAGCACATTTTGCGCACTAATTAGAACGCGCTTAATCACGGAATAAAGACACCGAAATAAGAGTTATTTATTGTTCTGTCTCTATGCTAGTGATGTCCACGAATTCATACCTCTAACAACGGATGAGGTAACGAACCAAAGCAGAACGACTGATATAACCAAACCTCAACGACGGTTGTATTGTAATGAGCTGGAGAACAGAGAGAAAGAGAAGCGTACAGGTAAGTAAGCGTGCAGAAAGTAAAAGTCAACTTACCGTGACCAACGAAGTGATCTTGGTCCGGTAAAACAACAAGGTCCGAAAGATGGAAAAGGTAAATGCACGGGAAGGATTAACACTGCCACTATAGATGTAAGTTACTATCAAAATGAGTCTTTTACCAAAAAAATGGTTATGATAAATGCGTTTTAAAGGTTAATTACAGTTTAAAAAAGTTGTAGCTCATACGTAGCTCTTTGTAGCCGATCGATGCGCGACGTTGCTACCTGGGTTGATGTCTATATTGTTCGTGGGTCAAAGTGCACAAAAAGCTAATAGAGAGAGTTTTGACGAATTCAACCAAGTACACTGTAATCACTAGCAGCATTTGGTCTGAGATAATCCGCTTCTTCTGTTGCCCAATTCATCCCCTCACTTTCCGCTTACATGTATTGCAGTTCACGTCAAAACCAACCAGTCCCCAAGCGAATATCTACACGAACGTCATATTCAACTTGACCTTCTGGCTCAGTGTTCCGGTTATTGTTTTCACGGCCCTATTACCAGCAACTATCTGGCGTTTTATCTCCGATCACACCTGGAAAAAAGATTTAAATGCAGTTCAGCACGTTGAGGAACGAAAATCGCAGGAACGAATATCAAAATACGTGGTTGAGGATGAGAGTAGATCTTCCGAAATGACCGATTTCACCAAATCTTGAATCCATTGGAACCAAACAGGCAATTATTAGAGCACCAAACTTTCATTCGACCATGTGTTTCCGAAAACTTCATACAATTCTCGCAACTTCCTGTTTCAGTTGCCACTAACCAAACTTTCTTCGCATCACAATAATTTACACTTTTCTCAATACAATTTATCGATGGATTCAGTGCATGAGACTTATGAACTAAACTGACAGTGACGGAGAATCAAAGCCACATCTAGATAGGTAGTTCCTAGAAGTCAAATGGGATGGAGAAAAATGATTGAGCGTCAAAATAAAGAACAAAATCGTCATCATAACAACTTCTCCAAGGGTAAGTACTCCTGGAGTGGCTTGAGACCGAAAGTGTAACACGCTCGAGAGTTGTCACCACCTTTTGTCTGCCTGTTTCGCAAGTATGCTTTCGCACGTTTGCAGGCATTGGTTGCTTGGAGCATTCGCTCGTGCATCCTTCTCCTTTGTAGCATAGATCCCGCCAGGACTATTTTTGGTCAAATATATTCCAAATCATGACCGAATCAAAGAAAATTATCCTTATTAATCAGCACCTGATAGTTATAAACGATGTCAATTTCATTTGTTCGCCGTTGTACCATGAAAGTCCTTCCGTGTGGTTTTCCGTGGTCAAATCCAATTTCTTGACCCGAGGAACTACTCAGTTTTTAAATTTCATCACGTATTGCAAGCTCTACTTTTAGATGTTGCAGAACTCGTGTTTGACGTCATCAATCCCGTCGCAGATGAGTGTCCCTACGAGACTCTGCGAGACGCTATCTTAACCCTTACTGGCTTATCTACCCAAAAGGAAATCAGGATCGCAGTCCAAGGAATGACCCTGGGTTTTCTTAGGCTATCCCAACTATTGTGCAACACTCAGCAAGAGCTCACCCCTGT